GTATTTAGACTTTTTACATTGGCTTCATTTACTTTTTAATATACACTTAATATTCTTCCATGTTTTTTCATATCTGTCTTTTCCAAAACTCATTTCTTCTTAGTGCTGATAATACTCCATTTTCTGGGATATCCCATTTTGTCCATTCATCTACTACTGTAGGACATCTTGGTTGCTTCCAGTTTTGGCAGTTATGAGTAAAGCTGATATGTGCAGAGTTTTTATTTTTTATTATACAAATAACATACAAACAAAAGACATATAGTGTGCATTCAGTAGAATAAATATATTCTAAATGTTGTGCAGCCATCACCACCATCAGTCTCCAAAAATGTTCTAGGGACAGATGACTACATAGCATGCTATCCATGGTAAAAGTAACAAATACGTTATCCTTTCTGTATATATATAATTTCAGGGATGTTTTATTCCAACAAATGCAAGATTTGATAACCATTAAAATAAATGTATTTTTCTAGGCCAGGGATTCACCACCTGGATTTACAAGGGTAAGGTCCCAAGTTCAATCCCTGGTACCAAAATAAAGTCCTTTGTCATTGGAATTAAAATTACTTTTGAAGAAAAAAACAATCGAAAGGAAGAAATTAATATAAAAGAGTATGTCGGGCCGGGGCTTTGGTTCAGTGGTTCCGCTGCCTGCCTTGCAAATGCAAGGACCCAGATTTGATCCCCGGTACCAAAAAATAAAAAAGAATTTATAAAATGTAGGACAAACACAAAAACGGAAAATGGTGTAGGGGAGAAAAAAAATTGCCTTGTCGTCAGTAATAAGGCAATTCAGGGGGAAATTGGGAGATATTTTAGAAGTTTTATTGCTACCTAATAAATTACGAACAAGAGAAAATAATGGTAAAGAAAGATTCCAGAAGGAGAGTGAAGAAGTTATGAGTAACTGTATTCATGAAAGCCGAATGTCTTGGTTGGAATAAAAGAAACTCAAGAGGAAATGAACACTCAGCTAGCAAGGAAGAGAGAAGTTTTAATACCATTCTCATTTCTACAACGTAGTCTTTAAGTGGTTTTATATGCCCCAATATTTTTTCTGTTTTAAGTCTTCCTAGGTATACATTGTCAGCACAGAAAAATTATATTCACTAAAAATAACAGGCTAACAAGTATCTTTTGTTTTTCCTATCTTTGAAAAATAGATGTTTTTTTTTCCAAAATCATCTGAAGTAAATTTTTATGTAGTAATTGGAGTGATCTCTGTTGGACAGTTTATCATTATCACAGACTGAGAACTGATGGAACTTCTTGGTGGCCCAAATACAAGTGTCCTGAGTGATTCCTAGTCTTTTACAATCATTTATTTGCTGAATTGTGGGATTTTTATATCTTGTTTTTCAATTTCATATATATTTTTGTCTTGGATTAAAAAAAGAAAGGAAAGTCCTAGAGGATTTTCTGTTTCCTGCTATTTCAAGAAAACAAAATTTCAGGTCTGGGGATTTAGCTCAGTGGTTCTGCCACCTGCCTTGCAAGCACTAGGACCCGAGTTTGATCCCCTATACCCCCCCAAAAAATGGACAAGAAAACAAAATTTTAAAAGAACTATAGTTTGCCCATTGGAATAAAGTAACTTACAGTTATAGCTCTTCTAAAAAACAAAGCAAAACCTTTTCATCTTATGAAACCGAAACTCTTTCCCCATGAAACAACAACTAACTCCCTATTACTCTCCCTCACCCCTGGTGACCTCCATTAAACTTTCTGTAACTGTGAATTTAATGACTCTAGGAACTTCATGTAAGTGGAATTAATACAGTATTTGTCCCTTTGTGACTGATTCATTTCACTCAGCCTAAAATCATCAAGGTTTCTCCATCTTGTAGCATGTGTCAGGATTTCCTTCTTTGTAAGGCTAAAGAATATTCCATTTTATGGATGGGCCACGTTTTGGTTATTCATTCATTGGTATTTATGTGGGCTGCTTCCAGTTTTAGCTGTGCATGACACTGCTGGGAACATGGTTCTACCAGTAATCTCTTCCAGACTCTGCTTTCAATTTTTTAGGTATATTCCTAGAGGTGAAATTGCTGACTCAAATGATAATTCTGTTTAATTTTTTAGGAACTGTCATATTATTTTTCCACAGCAGCTACACACATTTTTTTTGTTTTGGTTTAGTTTTTTTGAGACAGGGTCTCACTACGTAGTTGAGACTGACCTGGAGCTCACTATGTAGCCCAGGCTGGTCTCAAACTCACAGCGATCCTCCTGCCTCAGCCTCCCAATTGCTGGGATTACAGGTGTGTGCCACCACGCCCAGCCATTCTCTCTTAACAGTGCACAGGGCTTTCAAAATCTCCGTGCTCTTAGTAACACTTCCTATTCTGTTTTTTGTTTTCTTTGTTGTTTTGTTAGTATTTGTGATAGTAGCCCTTCTAACAAGAATAAGCAGTACACCTCATTGTGGTTTTGATCTGCATTTCCTTAATGATTAGTGATGCTGAGCGCATGCCTGCTGTGTATCTTAGGAAAAATGTCTATACCTCTTTTTGTCAGTTTTTAAATTGGGTGTTGTTTTTGGTGGTGGTGGTGGTGGTGAGTTGTAGGACTTCTCTCTATATAGTCTAGGTTTTAATCCCTTATCAGATATATTATTTTCAAATATTTTCCTCCATTCTAGAGTACCTTTTGTTCTATTAAAAGTATTTAATGTGCAAAATTTTTTAAATTTTTGGTACTGGGGATCAAACTCCGGACCACTTGTGAGGCAGGCAGCAGAACCACTAAGTGAAATCCCTGGCTCCCAAATTGTTTAATTTTGAGGTTGTCTAGTTGTCCTATTTGTTGCCTGTGCCTTTGGTGTCATATGAGAAATCATGGGCAAATCTCGTGTTGTAAAGCTCTTCGTGGATTCTTCTAAAAGTTTTCTAGTTTCTAGTTTTAACCCTTCAGTTAGGTCTCAGATCTGTTTTTAGTTAATTTTTGTATTTGCTCAAGTAAGGGTCCAGCTTCATTCTTGTGCGTGTAGATATCCAATTTTCTGAGCACCATTTGTTGGAAAGACTGTTCTTCCCCCCCGCCAGTAAATGGTCTTGACACACTTGTCATAAGTCACCTGTCCATATATGTTTGGGTTTATTGCTGAGCGCTCTGTTCTGTTCCATTGGTCAATACCATGCTGTTTTTGCTTACTGTGGCTTGGTAGTTAAGTTTTGAAATTAAGCCCTCCAGCTTTGTTCATCTTTTGCAAGATTATTTTGGCTATTCGGCATCCCTTGAGATTCCATGTAAATTTTAGGGTGAGTTTTTCCGTTTTTGCAAAAAGCCATTGGAATTTTGATAGAAGCATTACTGAATGTGGAGATCACATTGGTTTGGATAGATATTTCAGTCACATTAAGTCTTCTACTTCATGAGTATGTGGTACATTTGCACTTTATGTTTTCACTTTCGCTAATGTTTTGTAATTTTTAGCACATTAGCCTTTCTTTCACTTCTTGGGTTACATTCTTGAGTATTTTAATCTTTTTGATGCCACTATAAATAGAATTAATTTGATACTTTTCAAATTGTTCATTGTTAGTATTTAGAAATGCAGCTAATTTTTGTTTCTTGACTCTGTGGCCTACCTCTCTGATAACAATTTATTGTAGAATCTTTAGTTTTCTACATGTAAAATCATGCCACAGGCAAAAAGAGAGAATTTTACTTTTCCCTTCTGATTTTTTTTTGTATGTTTTCTTTTTTATTCCTCTTTATTCTTTTTTATTGTTTATTGGTACATTTAAGGTAAAGAATACAGTTGCATTCATCATTGAGATCTTGTACCTTTACATGATGTATCTTGGTTCTTATTTTTCCCTTCTGATTTTTTTCTTTTACTTCAAAAATTATGTCAAGTTGGGAGGGGCATCCTTGTCTTGTTCTGGATATTCAAGGAAAGGTTTTCAGTCTTTTACCATGTGTGTGATGATGAACTTTATCATGTTGCGGTTTCCTCCTGTACTTGGGTTGATCAGTGTTTTGTCTAGCACTTTTTCTGTATCAGTTGAGATAATCGTGTGCTTTTTTCCTTTATTCTGTTGAAGTGATATATTACATTCTTTGATTTCATAGGTCAAACTACCCCTGCTTTCCAGGAGTACATTTTATGTGATCATGGTATATAATCCTTTTACTATGCTCTTGCATTTAATTTGATAACATTTTGCTGACAAATTTTGCATACTTTCATAAGAGATACTGATTTGTTAGGTTTACCTGTTTTGTTTTTAGGTGAGATCTTAGGCTCAAACACTCATCCTGCCTCAGCCTCCCAAATAGCTGGAACCCCTAGCTCTTTGTTTTCTTATAGTCTTCTCACCTGGCTTTGGTGTCAGTATCACGATGGCCTCTTACAATTAGTAAGTACTCGGTTCAGTTTTTGGAGAAGTTTGGGAAGTGTTTGTGTCAGTTCCTCTTAAGTGTGTAGTTCTATTTACCTGTGAAGCCACTGGGTCTAGGGAATTTTGTCAGAAGATTTTTTGATTACTGATTCAGTCGCTTTAGTAGTTAGGACTTTGTTCAGACTTTTTGTTTATGGCTTAGCCTTGGTAATTTTTGTGTTTTCAGGAACTTGCCCGTTCATGTAGATATTTTTAAGTTATTTCAGCAGGAAGATAAGACAGGTCTTTGTCCCTCCATCTTGGACAGCAGAAGCCCTATCTTTTCCTGTGGTTGGCTGTGTAAATCAAAATGCCCTTTCCAGAACAAACTCAGAAGACCTCACTGACAGCAGGAATATCAGAAGCAGCTGAGAGAAAAGGTGTGGTGGCAGCTGGTGGTATGGCCAGTAAAGAGAGGATCCTTCCTGCAGAGCCCTGTGATCCTTCATAGGCTGAAGGCAGAGTGTGCTGAACTCTGGCCTCTGACCCTGAGTCACCTCAGTAGAGAGGTAGATCTAGATGGAAGCAGACGGACTTACACCAGAGATGGGCTTCTCCCTGGTCATGGATTCATGAATATGCTGCTCTGCTCTAATTCTTTTTCAGCTTTTGAACATGTCAAACTATAAGGAGAAGTTCTCCACTCTGCTGTGGCTTGAGGAGATCCATGCAGAAATGGAGCTAAAGGACTACAGCATGAGTGGAGTCACCCTGAAGAGGAACGGGGATTTGCTGGTACTGGAGGTTCCTGGCTTGGCTGAGAGCAGACCGTCCCTGTACACAGGTGCGGCTGCACTGCCAAGTTTCCCTGGCACCCAGCAGGCAGACACATGTGGCAGAAGAGCACTTTGAGCTGGCCATACACACGCACGACCTCATTTAGGTCCTTCCGGGTGGTATTTCACTTAAAATTTGATCTGTGATCTGTCTATATTAAGCATGGGGGGTTTTTTTGGTCACCCATTATTTAAGCAGTGGATCCAAGTAATGTTCTATTTTATTCTACTTCCTTGGGGCTTTATTTCATAGTGTAACAGAAGAAATGGGTGATTTTGTGTAGGTTTGACACAATGATGTATTTTTAACTAGGTGACAAACTGATTTTAAAATCTCAAGAGTATAATGGACATGTCGTGGAGTACATCGGCTATGTGATGGAGGTAAGAGGACAGTTCCTAAAGAGGGAATTCAGGCTGACTCAGCCATGCTCTGGGAAGTTTGAAGATAGAGTGAATCTTTGAATAATAAAGGGAATTTAGTATCTATAATTTTTAAGCAGATAACTTGTAAGTTATGCATAAGTCATGCTGTTTGCATTTAGTTGACTGGCATCTGTTCACACTCTGGAAGAGATATCAAGGTAGAAGCCTTAGAAGGAAGGACACAGAGTGTGCAGCTCTCAGGCTGGGGCAGAGGTCTCGTTGGCTTGACTTGTCCTGGTGATCTGGATCAAGGTGTCTGGAGGGTCTGTAATTCTCAGGCTAGTTTTCACTCCTGACAGACTAAGCACAGCCCAGGGAATAATGCTGGTATCTACTTGAGAAGGGGATACTTAATCTGTGGGTCAGAGATCTTGCACATACATGTGAGGTAGGAAATTTAAAAGCAAAAGAGCCTTCATTCATGGAGAGATAAATGGTTGTGGGAACTAAGAGTGTGATAAGGGTTCAAAGATAGACAGCATCGTCAGACCTTTTCCACCATGTTTGTTCTTTCCTCCGCTGTAATACAGGCTTTGTGCTGTGGTTCTGTTGACAAATACGATATTTTCTTAGAAGGTAAAAATCTCAGTAAAGCTCAGTGCCATCCTGATAATTGAGCACAGTACTTGAGGTCTAAGTTGCAAGCTAGGCTTTGTCCTGGGTTTCCTCCAGCAACAGTGGTAGGAGACAGTAGAAAGTCTCCACCGTGGACAGGAGGAAGACTACTGCAAATGACAACTCTGTAGGAGATGGATGTCTCTGCTTCAGAGGAGGAATGGCCTCAAGGTAGCCATGACAGAGAATTTTGATTGCCAGAAAGGGTCTTGATGGTCACCTCGGAAGGCATGGACTTAAGCAGGGCATAGAAGCTGTTGTCTTTGTAGTTGTATCCAGGTCTCCTCATCAAGGTTTCCTCATCAGTCAGAAGCCTATGAAAACTGGCAGAAGTGAAGGAGCATTATTTTGAGTTCTGGATGACTCTCAGAACTGCCACGGAAGTGAGCCAGCCAGGCTTAAGAAAACAGTGGCCTGGGAGTTTGCAGAACAAACTCACTAAAGTGCAAGGCCTGGTCTCATCTGGAAGCATTTCCATGTGGATCAGACCAAAGGTACCACTGCTGGCATTGATGGCTCTTAAATAAAGGGCCCTCCATCCTTGCTCCCAGAGCAGTTTAGATTGTAATTAGTAAAAAAGAAAAAAAAAAAGATTGTAACTGGCAGCCTGGAGTGCCTGATTGCCGCACCATGTCAGGAACTCTAGCCCTGGCACAAGGGATGCTAGACACTCCTGTGCCCCTTTAACTGACTACATTGCCATCACATCATTTCCTTCGTTTAGATTAGAATTTCATCTGGGACTTGACTGGCAGCTAGAGTGATAAGGAACTGCTAAAGCACTATCACTCTCAAGTGTATTTTCCTGATGAGGCTTCCACTCTGTTAAGTGGAGGACACCTTTCCTGTCACAGCTTATGTCCTCACTCAAAAACGGGTTTGTATTTTGGGAGCCAGGAAAAGTGAACTTTTTGCATGAGACTGTTGGTATACATCCTTCTTTTTACACTTAAATTTGTAAAGGACTTGCTTCTGATTAATACACTGTCTTCTTGTCATGACCTTCCTGCATATCCCACATCTTAGAGACATTTCCCAGGCTTTCCACAGGGCTGAGTTGATAGCCTATGACCATGGGCTAAAAGCTGCCTGATGGTAGAGAGCACAATACTGAGAAAAGTAGGAAAGAGAAATTATGTACAAATGTAAGTAGGAAAGGACAAAGGCCACACAGCCTTATCATTCCAGTTGATGATGAGATCAGTGCTAGAATTTATGACTCCCCTGCCCTGCTGCCTTAGGCAGGACCTCCAAGCTCAGCAGCACTTTGGTTAATGGGGGGAAGGAGCTGTCCTGCACTCCTAAAGGACTGTCCCCTATGTGCCCATGCTAGTGATGGCCATGAGCACTTATTAGTTATTGGCAGTGTGGTGGGCAACGCTTTCTCCCCCATGTAGAACAGTAGTCACTTAGTCCATGTCAAGAGTATCTATTCACCTTGCCACCTATATAGCCCACCTTGCTGGTGACCAAGTGGCATGAGGAGCCCACAGATAACCAGGTGACCATCTAAGCTTCTAAATAGTAAGCCAGCTACTGTGTAAAGTGGGAAGCCTGAGTATCAAAGCCGCCAAAGAAATAGGACCAGAGATCCTGGCAGGATGCTCTGTCCAGCAACCCCCTTGATTCCTGAAGCACAGGCTTGGTGTGAGCTGTGAAGCCACCCTGTGACTGATTTAGAACCAACACAGCAAACAGCTAGCCTGGCATAATGCTGAAGCACTGGAGTGTCCTGTAAGATGCCCAGTGTGCCATAAAGTCTGCTTACTGTATTCTGTAGGTACCAGCCATGGCTTTACTTGGTTCTGTCATCACATGGTATGGACACCAGGCTGGTATAGAAGGCTCTTGGGAGGCCTTCTGGCTGGTGGAGAAGTCACATCTGGAACAAGTAATTGTCACACTAAAGGCAAGCAAGCAAGGACAGTCAGCCAGCAGGGACAGTCACCCTCAGCCCTGGAAAGGTGTGCCCTCCTATGGCTCCAGTCAGGGAGTAACACTGCCCACTGCCGGCCGTTCATGCTCAGAGTCCTCCTACCTGCCCAGGAGCACGTCCCAAGGAGAAAGCACCATCACATGTGCCGCCTCCTCATACTCCTCTCACTCTCTTTTCTCAGAACTCTAAGAAATTCTTCACGGCTGCCTTAGCAGCTTTGTCTTGTTTGCTTGCTTGCCTTCCATTTTCTTAACATTACATACAGCCTTTTGGATTTCTGTCAAGGGACACAGTAGTCTGTGATGTTGCTAGCACCCTCATCTGCTGAAGGCAGTCTATGTTGTCCTCACCCTGGGTGGTTTGTTCCCTCATGTTTCTAGTGATCTTTGATAACAGATTCATTTTCATTTCTTGTAATCTCTAGGAAACCCTGGGACCCCTGTTGAGCTAGCTTTCCTTGTAAGGGGCTTGTCACAATGGCTGCTGAGAAGAGGGCCCGGAAATGGGCCCATGCCAGTGTTTCACCATGTGCCTTAACCTGTGTCCCACAGTCTCAGAATTGAGTCATAGCTTCTTGAACCTTCACTGTGGTCATATCGGGCTCCTGTTGGCAGCTCTGTGTTTGCTTTCCCATTTTTCTTCCCATATTTTCTCAGAAATTCTCTCTCCTTTTTGTCCAGAGTAGAATATGAGGGATTGATTTTTGCACTCTAGTTTTTTCTAGTTCCTGGTACCAGGAAGGGGAAGTCTTACTGTGACCTTTCTGTGGAGGCTGTCAGTGGGGTGATCCTACTACTGCACTGCAGTCTCAGAGCCTTTGACCCATGAAAAGTTTGTGCAGTGCTGTTGCTGTGAGTGGAGATTCTGGCCGGTGCCTCTTGCATATGTAACTTAATGACTAAATGATTTAATCCTTTCAGTTAATTTTGTAAATATTTAAGGAATCAAATTTTGGCTCAGATTTGTAAATACATTTTTTATGGTGTGTTGCTGGATATACATATAAGATTACTCCAAGAAGTCAAGTTAAATATATGGAAGTTAAATTGCTTCTTTTTTAGATTCATGAAGAAGATGTGACTCTTAAACTTAATACAGAATTTGAACAAACATACAACTCCGAACCTATGGATGTGGAGTTTACATATAATAGGTAAGGCTTCCCTGAGTCCCCATCCTTGATGTGTCTGCCTGAGAATCTGCTGACATCTCTGTGGTGATGCATGAGACACCGTGTTGGTGCTCTCTGTGCCTTTAGTGTCCAACACACCACTTGTGCATGCCCACAAGCACGGCTTTGTCACCAAATAAGTTATGGACTATAAAGATGCATGCATTTGCGTGTTCTTTTTAGACCTTATGTGCACCAATCTTGGGCTGATGCCCATTGTCACCATCAGTCCACTGGCCTCCTTGATCTTATCCATCCATTCATTTATCAGGTGCTACAGCCTGTAATCAAGTTAATACAGCTGTTCTCTCTTCCTCTATTAAACACCCTATCATTGACTAGAATTTTATGTATATCTTTCCCTCACTTTTCTTTCTTTTCTTTTTTTTTCTTTTTTGCTGTCTTATTTACTTTTCTCATTGTTGAGACAAAATACCCAAAGTTTAAGGGAGGAAAGGTTTATTTAGCTTACAGTTTGTAGAGGTTTCAGTCCATAATCAGCTGGCTTCAATGCAGGGTGACACATGGCAGAGGGACAACAGTTCATAGTGGTGTAAAATAGAAAAAGCAACAAGGGACTTTAACAGCTTTCTGCCCCTGTTATCTAGACTACTTAGGGCTGGGTAGCACTCACACCCTTAATCCTAGTGCCCTTGAACCTACCATTGCACCATGAATCAGTCACACACTCAACTTTAGCCACCTCTGAAAAAGCCTCACCTATGAACTGCATGAATCTGTGAGACATCTAGGCACAAGCCCTAACACTTGCTCTAAGTTCCCCATGTGCCTTCAAACTTGGAATCCTCTTGTATCAGCCTCCCTCATAGCTGAGATTACAGGTGTGTGTGTGTGTGTGTGTGTGTGTTTGTGTGTGTGTTTTGCAGGGTGTACTGAGGTTTTAACCTAGGAACGTTACAGTGAGCTACATTTCCAAGCGTTTTTTTAATGTGGTCTCATTACCTCTTTAGCATTTTCTGAGCTAATTGTTTTTCTTCAACCATTGATAGGAAATATTTCAACTTTATATCAAAACTTCCTTGTATAACAAGAATGAAAACGGAATTTTTTGGTGAATTCCTCAATGTGTTTCTGGGACTTATTAACTAATATTTACATTCATGTTTTTTATTGCTTTTTTGAGGTAAGATACTGGTATGCTGGTTGATACAGTTTTCTTGTTTGCTTGGTATTATTCTTTTCAAGTTTTGTCATAGTAGCTTTGAAAAGGTTTTTAAAGGTTTTTCCTTTCTCTCTTACTTGGAGGTGTTGGAGAGTTTAAGAGGGTGGAATAGTAGGACAGGTGGAGGCCACCTTCCTCAGCTTTTCCTCTTTAGTTGATCTGCTGTGCTTTGTTTTTTTAGAGTCAGTTTTGCTAAGTCCTAGGATGGCCCATAGCCTGCTATATAATTCCTCTCTAAATGAAGTTTATTCTATCTCAGACATCTAACTACCTTGGAAAGCTATACAAAGGGCAGGTGGAGGTGCCCACACCTGCAGTATCTGGAGCCCCTTGGGATGCTCCCAGACAGTTTGTGTATATACCCCAAATTCCTACACCATGAAAGTGGGCCTGAGCGTGACCTCAAGCATCCACCCTACACCTTATGATACAGTGGGGAGCACTAAGGTGGCTTTTCAGGCTCCCACATCCAAGTTTTCCAGAAAACTGTGTTTAGCGCAGGTTCTGAGAAGGTGTGAATTGGCTCTTGTGTCTTTTCTTGGTAGTCGAGATTTTCTTTATGGAACAAATTTCTTCATTTGTGCTTTGGCACTTTACCCTGCTTCACTGGAGATGAAACATGTTGTTAGTCTCTTTGTTATTTTCTGTGAATTTCAAGGGGGCATCCCTCAGAGTTTTTCCTGCTTATGCACTTTGTACAGTAGAACATAAATACTCCCAGGTGGGAAAAAAAGAATCCCTGATGTTCTACCATCTAAACTCTCTGTTTAACATTCCTCATTTTCTAATGTTTTGCCTAGACACATGTAGGAAAGCAACCCGAATCCTTCACATTCGCAGTGGTGCTTTTGAGACTTTGTAAGACCTGATCTCTAATCTGCTCTGTATTTATAAGTACCTTGTAAAGGTTACATTAGCATGATGACTTAAAGATTATTATTTTAGTCTCAAGATTATCATCTTAGTCTGCTGCTCCACCTTCTTAATGTTGCTATAACCAAATACCACAGATTGGGTAATATATTTTTAAAAATTTGTTTTTACCAGATCTAGAGGCTGAAGGATCCATCCAATAAGGTATGTGATGAGGCCCTTCTTGCTGCATCATAGCATGGCAGAGGGCATCATGAAGTGAAAGAGCACTCCAAAGGCCCAGAGGGCAGGAGCAGGAGAAAGTAGGGAAATGAATTTCAACTCACTTTCATAGCAGTGCCACTCCCTCCAGGACTAAGCTGCCTGTGCGAGAATGGTACTGCCCTCATGACCTAACACCTCCCCACACTGTCACACCACAGCAGTTACAAAAGTCAGATTGCCGTGAGCTTCACTAGCCTCAATAGTTCTAAATTTAAGAATTATTTTGTGTTTTCTTTCTGGCAGGACCACAAGCAGACGGTGTCATTTTGCACTTGAACAAGCCATCCACTTAGGTGTAAAAGGTAGTATTGTTACACTGCCATTGTAACATAATGTTCTCAGAGTATTTTTATAGCCTTCCTGTGAAATATTGTGTAAGACTCAGTCTCTTTAATCAAGTAGAAGTATGTGATATTCATGTTGTTACTTTTGGGAAGTTTTGTTATTTTGCTATTTTGCTATAAAAATAATGTGCCCCTAAATAATTGAAAATTAGCTCGTTGTGCTTTGCATCTCACTCCTGTAATATAATTCATTTTGTACTTGCAAAGAGACAACTAAATAACTTTATTGTATTTATTGTAAATAACATATAGTTCTAGCATAGTGCTAAGTTTAGAGATAGCATAAAAGGAGATCCACCAGAGAATGGAGTAGAGTGCTGGGAATGTATCTCAGTGGTACAGTTTCTGCCTGGCAAGTGCAAGTTCCTGAATTTGATTCCTGGTACAAAAAAAAAAAAATAAAAATGGAACTACTTTGGGATCAGCCATAAACATTTGTGTCCATTCATGTTTTCTAAGCATTTTTAGTATTTTTACTTTCTTACTTTTTCTCATTTTAAAGTACTGTTTCCAGAAGAAGTAATTTTACAGTCTCCTCAGGTGACAGGAAATTGGAGCCATGCACAACATGCCAAAAGTGACAAACAATCCATCACCAAGGTAATGCTTTTATGACTTCCATATATTTAAGTAGGTAATGTCATAGTAGTTGTTCAATCCCCCAACACCGGGGATTGAACCCAGGGCCTTTGCATGAGCTACATCCCCAGCCCTTTTTCATTTTTATTTTGAACTAAAGTATATCTGAGTTGCCCAGCCTGGGATTGAACTTGGGATTCTTCTACCTCAGCCTCATAGTGTGCTGGAATTAGAGGTGTGTGCCACTGCATGTAGCTTAAGTGGATACATAAATTCACTTCCAGGTATATCAGCTCAGTCTTGACTGTATTAGAGCCATGTAGTTCACCTATCCAAAATCACAGTTAAAATTAAAATATCTATAAAATATGTTTCTAGTCTGGGGATTTAGCTCAGTGATGTCATGCCTGCCTCTAAAGCACAAGGTCCTGAGTTCAATCCCTGGTACAGTGAAAAAAAAAAAAAATATATATATATATATAGTATAAGCTTATACAATTGCATATAGGTCTAAGATGCTGCAATACATTGTGTGGGGAAAAACAAGGTACAAGTATTTGTATGACCTTATTGTTTTATTTTAAAATTGTTTTTATTTTTTGGTCTTTTTTTTTTTTTGGTACCAGTGATCAAACTTGGGACCTTGCACTTGTGAGGCAGATGGCCAAACCAGTTGTATGCTTTTTTATACATTCAGACAGGTGCATTTCTGTAATTGTATGTGCATAGAAAATGCCTGGATATGTTACCAATTAGCTGAGGATTCTTTTGTTCAAATCAGATAGAAATTGCAAAAAGGCAGAGTACATCTTCTTCGGTTTTAGCAGCTCTGAGCTTTAAGTGCCAGAAGCTCTCTGCAACTCAGCAGCCAGACCTAATAGCTCTTAGTAGCTCTTCTGCAGCTCCCAGCCCTCTCAGCTAATCTCTGAACCCCTCAGTAGCACTCTGCTGCTAGGCCTCTATCCTCAGGGCTCGCATCCATTGGTGTTACCAGCTCTTGGTGCAATCTGCTCAGCCTTCTCGCAGAGTAAAACCGTCTGAGTGAGGCTTTATTGGGGTAGGTTGGATCACAAGAAGACACTGCACTAAATGGAAGTCCCAGGCTGGCCCACTTCTGTAGACAAAAGGTGCAAAACCACCCATGTGTATAACTTCCTGCCTAATAACCTCAGACTTTCTGTACTGTCATGGCTGTGCAGGAATACTGAGCTTACCTGACCTGTTGTGTGGGGGCAGCTGCTCCTCCCAGATAGCTAAATGAGAACATCTGAAGTATGCAAAGTGAGAGAAAGGACCGGAATGGTATATGTGCATGGTGAAAAATAGTTTTACAATTCTTTTTAAAGATAATTGATGTTTTGAAGCTGAAAAAATAATGTAGAATTTATAACATTTGTAGATCTAAATATACATTGGCAATACCACAAAGGATGGGAAGAAAAAAAAGCAGTATCATGCAGTTCTGAGAGGTTGAGTGGAGTGGTATAATACCACTTGAAGTAGACTGTAATCAGTTAAGGATGTATACTATAAACTTGAGGACAACCACTAAAAAAACACAGACCAACAAAGGAGTTCAAAAAGAATCAGAAATATTTAATTGAAAAGTAGGGACCCAAGGCTGGGAATTTAGCAAGTGCAAGGTCCTGCATGCAATCCCTGACACTGAAAAAAAAAAGGGGGGAACCTATATTCAAGCATCTGTAACCTTATGATGTTCTGTCCACTCATATAATCACTGAGAAAGGAGTAGTGAAATCTGTCCCTGTGATTTTGTACCTTGAACAAACAAAACACGGAAAGTAGATAACAAGGTGATAGATTTAAATCTAACCACCTCTGTAATCACATTAAATGTAAGTGGTCTAAACACTAAAATTAAAAGGTAGACATTGTCAGCTTGGATGAAAAAGAAAAAAGCCTCACTACAGTCTTCCTGCAGTATCCGTGGGAGATTGGTTTCAGGGTATAATCCCGCCCCAAGCACACCAAAATCCACAGATGCTCAGGTCCCTTATATAAAATACATAGTATTTATGTCTAACCTACACACCTTTCTGTGTCCTTTAAATCATCTTTTGATGACTTACAATACCTGATACAATGTAAATGCCAGGTAAATACACATTGTACTGTGTTGTACAGTGAATGATGACAAAAAAAATTGTGCATCTTAAATACAAACAAAATTTTTTCAAAAATTATCAGTCCACGGTTGTTGAATCTACAGATGTGGAACATGTATATACAGAGCTGTGTATGTTGCCTGTAAGAAACATTTTAAATGTAAAGACACAAATAGCCAGATATGGTGGCCCACACCTATAATCACAGCAGTCTAGGAGACTGAGACAGGAGGATCACAAGTTTGATCCTGGCCTGGGGAACTTGGTGATCTGGTAAGACCCTGACTCACAGTTTAAAAAAAAAAAAAAATTTAAGGGCTGAGGGTGTAGTTCAGTGGTAGAGCACTGCTAGGTTCCATCCTAAATACCACCACACACCAAAAAGATACAAGTTAAAAGTAAAATGACATGAAAAGATATATTTTTAAAAAGAGATAATAATCTGCATAGCCAAATATCTAGTGGGAACTCTGCCAAGATGTTTATAGTATTTGTTTGGGTTGAGTGGGCGGGTAGGGGGTGGGATTTTTATTCTTTATATTTTCTTAAAATTTTATTTTATAATAAATTGATAGGAATTTTTTAATCAGAAAAGAAAGGAGATAATAATCAAAAGAATGGGGCCGGGGATTTAGCTCAGTGGCACTGCGCCTGCCTCACAAGTGCAAGGTCCTGAGTTTGATCCCTGCTACCAAAAAAAAAAAAAAAATTAAAATAAAGAATGATGTAATGTCTCTGTTCGTATCAGAGAAAATAGATATCAGAGCAAAGATTTTCAGTATAAAGGAGATGCTATTGCAAGAAAGAAGATAATTTTTGAAGAATACGTTACTGTGATGGGCAATCTTGATTGTCAACTTGATTGACATGAAATATACGTAGATTAGTAAATTACACTTCTGGGTGACCTTGGGGACTATATTTGGTCCCTATCCCCTTCCTCTTGGGCTCTGTTATGGTTTGTGCCTAGATGTCCCCCAAAAGCCTCATCTGGTCATAGGTGGGGCTTTTTCAAAGGTGACAGAATCTAGAGCATGTGCTGGGATTAAGTGTGTGTGGTTACTAAATCAGTCCACTGACTGATTTGGCACCACCCTAATTCCAGTATCCTGGATACAATATAAGGGACAGAAAGGGGCTTATCTTCCCTTGCTTGCTTGCTTTTTCTGTCTTCTGCTTGCATGAACTTCTCCTCTGCGATGCCCCTCTGCCAGGCCACCCTGCCTTTTCTGTATAAGATTGCAAATGAGGAAAAAGAAACCTGTGCTAGTTTTGCTGTCACACCTCAGAATGCAAAAGTTACAGCGATGGTGTGTGATAAGTGTTTAGTTAAGTTGGAAAAGGCATTAAATTTGTATATGTATATATAGGATAAAACAGCAAGGTTTGATATACTGCCCATGGTCTCAGGGACCCACTTGGGAGACTTAGAATGTATCTTATACAGATACGGGGAAACCATAATAAGTTATCTTCCCCTCGTCTAGATACACATGCACTTACCTCTGTTGGTTCTGTTTCTCTGGAGAGTACTGACTTACAATTATGAACAACTTTGTATTAATAAATTCAACAGCCTAAAAGTGGACATGTTCAAAGACATAAATTGTCAAAGCTATTCAGCAGAAAAACTGGGCACTCCTAGATCTATTTAAGAAATTGAAACTATAGTTAGAAATATTCCCCACCTTCTTCCACCAAAACCCTGCCCCTGGTGTCTTTGCTGGTGAATCCTGTCAAACATTTCAGGAAGCATTAACACCATTTCTGCACAGACTCTAACTTGAAGAAGATATATTCCAAAGTTATTTTATGAGGCTGCTGTTACATTGATACCAGAACAACATCCAAAAGCTAGAATAAGAAAGCTACACACCACTATCATTCGTGAGCATAGATGTAAAAATCCTGAAACAAAATTTCTGTAAATTGAATGTGTGTGAGACAAAGAAGGGTTCATCCTAGGAATGAAAGGCTTAATTGACATCCCAGAGATGAGTCCATGTAGTTTGTCACATTGACAAACTAAAAAGAAAAAGGCGCATAATCATCTCAGTAAACATGGGAAAGGCTCCTAACAAAACCCAACATCCATTCTTGATCAAAACTGACTACAAACTAGAAATAGAAGGGAATATCCTTCCCCTACAAGAAATCTAACTACTGCTGAGTGCTCTTCCCTTTAAAGTAAGGGTCAAGACAAGTGTAAACAGAGCAGAAGGCAAGAAAAAGAAAAGGTATTTAACTCACATAAGAAGTCTGATGGTGGGCCTGGGATTTAGCTCAGTGGTTCCACTGTCTGCCTCATAAGCACAAAGACCTGAATTCAATCCCCGGTACCAAAAAAAAAAAAGTCTGATGGAATCTACAGTGAATCTATTAGAACTAAGTGACTTTGAAAGATAACAGATAACAAAATCAACATAAAAACAAACACTAAGGCCAGGGATGTAGCTCAGTAGCACAGTACCTGCCTGACAAGTATGAGGCCCTGAGTTCAATTCCCAGTACAAAAAAAAAAAAACCCACTATATAGCAATAAACAGTAATTTTTGGGCCAGGGATTTAGCCTAGTGGTTCTGCTGCCTGCCTCACAAGGGCAAGGTCCCAATCCCTGGAACAAAAACAAAAAAAAAAAAACACACATTTTAAAAAATACCACTTTGGGCCAGGCGTGGTGGTGCATGCCTGTAATCCCAGCACTCAGGAGGCTGAGGTAGGAGAATTGTTGTGAGTTCGAGACCAGCCTGGGCTACATAGTGAGTTCCAGGTTAGTCTCAACTACATAGTCAGACCCTGTCTCAAAAACAAAACAAATACCACTTTGAGGGAAGATGGAGATAAAGTCTCACTATACAGCTCAGGCTGGCCTTGAACTCACTATGTGGCCTAGGC